GGGGGTGGAGTGTCCGATGGTACAAAATACCCAGGCAGGTGCTTAGTTTTGGTGGGGCTGATGGTAAGGCCCCACCTCTTAGTGGCACGCTCCAGTCTCAACAGCAGGGTCTCCAACTCCTCCTCTGAATGAGCAGCTATTACCAAATCATCAGCATACATAAAGTGGTTGAGCAATAGGGAGCCATCCCTTGACCACACCCGGGCATCGATCATCCTCCCAATATATCTGTGCCAAATGGAGATTCCCCCGGTACAGCTATTGAAGGCTTCACGAACTACGTGGTCAAAATAGATGTTAAATAATGTGGGAGCCAGAGGACATCCCTGTCGCACCCCAAGGTGTACAGGGAATGGCTCCGACTCCCGGCCACGTAGTTTTACCCGGGCCCGCTCACCATCATGAAGGTCCTTAATGATCGTGAGCAGATGGTCAGGGACTCCAAAAGCACGAAGAACAACCCAGACCCCAGGCCTACTGATGGTATCATAGGCCTTGACCAGGTCAATAAAGCAGAGATGTAGGTCTTGCTGGAATTCCCTACACCTCTGCTGTAGCAGACGGACAAAAAATATGGCATCCGTGCAGGACCGCCCTTTCCTGAAACCGCATTGGGGCTCCGCAAGCCTCTCCTCAGCGTGCCTGGCAAGGCGATGTTGAATAATCCTTGCCAGGACCTTTCCCGGCACACTGACGACACACACACCGACACACGACACCCACAGACACACACACCTACACACAACAACAACCGCCATTCGCCACTAAGTGGCGGTGACGTCACCACGACGCTTGTGCCAGGCTATGTGCACCCTGAGGCCACGTGAAGTGTCGAACGCCCGCTGGCAGGAGGTCACGGGGCAGACCCAGGTGCCACGGGTCGACTGACTGAGATGACTGGCTGATGCACCACCTGTGCCCCCTACTGTGCCAACCTGCTGTGCTTTAGCCACCCGGCGCTGCGCTCGTTGTTGTGAGCGTCGCTCCTCCGCCCTCCGTTGTTGTTGGAGGGCGACTGCCTCCAACTGCCCAGTAGCGTCCTTCACGAGCCTCCTCCACAGAGGCCGATCTTGACACCGCTGGTACCGGTCATCGGCAAGTCCACTCAGCTCCACGTCCTCCTGTACCACATCACTCCATCTCTTCTCTAGCCCGTGCACACCTACACACACACACGACACCCACAAACACCTACACACACGACACACCTACACACACACCCACACACCTACCCACACGACACACACACACCTACTCACACACACCTACACACGACACACATCTACACACACACCTACACACACACACGACACACACACCTACACACACACCTACCCACACGACACACACGACACCACACACACGACACACCCACACCCACCTACACACACACGACACACCTACACACACACCCACTCACACACACACCTACACACACACACCTACACACGACACACACGACACCCACACACACCTACACACACCTACACACACGACACACCTACACACACGACACACCCACACACCTACCCACACGACACACACGACACCCACACACACACGACACACACCTACACACACACACCTACACCCACACCTACACACACACCTACACACACCTACACACACACACCCACACACCTACACACACACACCTAGACACACGACACACACGACACCCACACACACACCTACACACACGCCACACACCTACACACACACCCACACGACACACACACTTACACACACACCTACACACACACACGACACACACACCTACACACACACACCCACACACCTACACACACACACCTAGACACACCCACACACACACCTACACACACACCTACACACACGCCACACACCTACACACACATCTACACACACGCCACACACCTACCCACACGACACCCACACCCACACACGACACACACGACACACACACACGACACCCACACACCTACACACACACACCTACACACACCTACACACACACACGACACACACACGTCCGCCCTCCGCGTGTGCGCTGCAGTGTTTATTCACATGGAGCGCCACAAAGCTCCCAACCAACCCATCTGCCCGTGCCTCCCGAAACATCGCAAAAAGACGAGAACCCTCGCGCCGAAAGCACGGGGAGAGAGAGAGAGAGAGGAGATATTTATACACACACACAGCTCGATAACACGACAGTATAAATACACGTCTCACATTATTCTCTGGGCGTGCGTGCGTGCGTGCGCGTGTGTATATATATATTAGAAAGAACAAAAAACCACAAGCACCGTCAAGGCAAAACAAAAATATAACAAGCGATGGGCACTCTTGACGGCGCTACCGATAGCAACAATAATTGTGGGTTATCATATCGACAATGTGTGTGTGTGTGCGTGTGTGTGTGTGTGCGTGCCGGCAAGGGTGGTAGCCAGGGCGAAGCGGTGACGCTCTGAGTGTAGGTAAGTGGACGACACTCTCGTCTGGCGGATTCCGCGCAAACTTCATCGTCAAATGGAGTCCCGATCGACAGCGCGGACTCGAACGAATCATTCTTTAAACATTAACATTTGTTGAACGCGTGTGTGTGCGTGTGTGTACACGTGTGGTATCATAACGATAATAAATGCGGGCATGGTAACAATAATATTCGTGGCATTATTAGCAATAATATTCGTGGCGTTATTATAATAATAATTGTAGAACGGTGACGTTGATCGATCGAGGACCCAGTGGCACCGTTACCCCCGCATGGCTGAGTCCGGGTGGAGGGGGTGGGGTCACGCCGCTTGACCCTAGGGGTCACGGGGAGGTCACCGCCGTGACCCTACCGGGAGTCAAAAGGTCACTGCCGGTCCTCAGAGTTAAAAGGTCACCGCTTGACCCCAGGGGTCACGAGGCCACCGCTAGACCCCAGGGGTCACGAGGCCACCGCTAGACCCCAGGGGTCACGAGGCCACCGCTAGACCCTATGGGTCAAAAGGTCACCGGCGGTCATAGGGGGTCAACAGGTGACAGGTTGCATTCGGAGGTCACCACGGGGTCTAGCCTAGGGGGGGCACCCCCAGTGGCTACCACGAGGGCTCCGTCGTCATCGTCATCATCGTCGTCATCGTCATCATCGTCGTCATCGTCGTCATCATCATCATCGTCATCATCATCGTCGTCATCATCATCGTCATCGTATGGGAATTCATAGCGGCAGCCACAACAGTCTCAGCGAGCGGTGACGTACATTCTAAAACGTGGAGGACGAAGAAAACAAACGGAGGACCGAGAGATAAATCCACGCAGTGACCACCACCACCATCATCACAACCATCACCATCACCACCATCACCACCATCACCATCACAACCATCACAACCACCATCACAACCATCACCATCACCACCATCACCACCATCACCACCACCACCACCATCACCACCACCATCACAACCATCACAACCATCACAACCACCATCACCACCACCATCACAACCATCACCATCACCACCATCACCATCACCACCACCATCACCATCACCACCATCACCATCACAACCATCACAACCACCATCACAACCATCACCATCACCACCATCACCACCATCACCACCACCATCACCACCACCATCACCATCACAACCATCACAACCATCACAACCACCATCACCACCACCATCACAACCATCACCACCATCACCATCACCACCATCACCACCATCACCACCATCACCATCACAACCATCACAACCACCATCACCACCATCACAACCATCACCATCACAACCACCATCACCATCACAACCATCACCACCATCACAACCATCACCATCACCATCACAACCATCACCACCATCACAACCACCACCATCACCACCACCATCACCACCACCACCACCACCATCACCACCATCACCACCATCATCATCACCATCATCACCACCATCACCACTATCACAACCATCACAACCATCATCACCACCACCACCATCACCACCACCACCATCACAACCATCACAACCATCATCACCATCATCATCACCACCACCACCATCACAACCATCACAACCATCATCACCATCATCACCACCACCATCACAACCATCACCATCATCACCACAACCATCACCATCACAACCATCACAACCATCATCACCATCACCATCACCACCATCACCACCACCACCACCATCACAACCACCATCACCATCACCACCATCACCACCATCATCATCATCACCATCATCACCATCACCATCACAACCACCATCACAACCATCACCACCACCATCACCATCACAACCACCATCACAACCATCACCACCATCACCACCACCATCACCACCACCATCACCATCACAACCATCACCACCATCACAACCACCACCACCATCACCACCACCACCATCACCACCATCACCACCACCATCACCACCACCATCACCACCATCACAACCATCACAACCACCATCACCACCACCATCACCACCATCACCACCACCATCACCACCACCATCATCACCACCATCACAACCACCACCACCACCACCACCGGGGGAGAGAGAGACGCAGACTCTAAATACGCAGCAGCAGCAGCAGGAGTCATCAGGGGTCGGGATCGAACCCACGGGCTCCTGCGTACCGAGCGAGGGAGTCAACATCGCCTAGACACCGTGATGCCACAACACCGCTGTCTCTGTGTCTCTGTGTCTGTGTGTGTCTGTGTGTGTGTGTGTCTGTGTGTCTGTGTGTGTGTCTGTGTGTGTCTGTGTGTCTGTGTGTGTCTGTGTGTGTGTGTGTCTGTGTGTGTGTCTGTGTGTGTGTGTGTCTGTGTGTGTGTCTGTGTGTGTGTGTGTCTGTGTGTGTCTGTGTGTGTGTCTGTGTGTGTCTCTGTGTGTGTGTGTCTGTGTGTGTGTCTGTGTGTGTCTGTGTGTGTGTCTGTGTGTGTCTGTGTGTGTGTCTATCTGTGTCTGTGTGTCTGTGTGTGTCTATCTGTGTGTCTGTGTGTGTCTGTCTGTGTGTCTATCTGTGTGTCTGTGTGTCTGTGTGTGTCTGTGCGCGTCCGTGCGGGGGCGTTGCTGTGAGGGGGCGTGGCCGTGCGGGGGCGTGGCCGTGAGGAGGTGTGGCCGTGAGGGGCGTGGCTGCGAGGGGGCGTGGCCCCTCACTTGGAGAGCTTGGAGATGACCCTGATGAGCGCTCCGTTCTCGTCCTTAAGTCGCTGATTGTCGGCCTTGAGGTCCGGGAGACTCTGAGGGGGCGACCACCATCATCATCATCATCATTACTATCATCATCATCATCACTATCATCATCATCACTATCATCATCATCACAACCATCATCATCATCACAACTATCATCACTATCATCATCACTATCATCATCATCACTATCATCACAACCATCATCATCACTATCATCATCATCACAACCATCATCATCATCACTATCATCATCATCACTATCATCACAACCATCATCACTATCATCATCATCACAACCATCATCATCATCACTATCATCATCATCACTATCATCACAACCATCATCATCACTATCATCATCATCATCATCACTATCATCATCATCATCACTATCATCATCATCATCACTATCATCATCACAACCATCATCACTATCATCACCACCATCACTATCATCATCACTATCATCATCATTATCATCATCACCATCATCACCACCATCACTATCATCACTATCATCATCACTATCATCATCACTATCATCATCACCATCATCATCACTATCATCACTATCATCATCATCACCACCACCATCATCATCACCACCACCATCATCATCACCATCATCATCACTACCATCACAACCATCATCACAACCACCATCACTATCATCATCATCATCACCACCATCACCATCACAACCACCATCACTATCATCATCATCATCATCACCATCATCATCACTATCATCACCATCAGTAGCATCATCATCACCATCATCACCACCATCACTACCATCATCACCACCATCATCATCACTATCATCATCATCACCATCATCATCATTATCATCACTATCATCATCATCACTATCATCATCACCATCATCATCACCACCATCACCACCATCACCATCACCACCATCACCATAATCATTACCATCACTATCATCATCACCATCACTATCATCATCACAACCATCATCACCATCATCATCACCACCATCACTATCATCATCACTACCATCATCATCATCACTACCACCATCCTCATCATCACCACCATCATTATCACCACCATAATCATCACCACCATCAACACCATCATCAAAATCATCATCACCACCATCACTATCATCATCACTCATCATCACAACCATCATCATCATCATCACAACCACCATCACCACCACCATCACTACCATCATCATCACTACCACCATCATCATCATCACTACCATCATCACCATCATCACTACCACCATCACCACCATCGCTACCACCATCACTACCACCATCATCATCACTACCATCACCATCATCACAACCACCATCACTACCATCATCATCACCACCACCAGCATCACTACCACCATCACCACCATCATCGCCATCATCATCACTACCACCATCACTACCACCACCATCACCACCATCATCATCAGCAACACCACCATCATCATCACCACCACCACCATCATCACTATCACCACCATCACCACCATCACCACCACCATCACCACCATCATCAACACCATAAACAACACCACCACCACCGGCACACCGCAACCAGTTGCTAGCAACCAGTGCAGAGCAACCAGTTGCTAGCAACCAGTACACAGCAACACAGCCACGAGCAATCAGTTCACAGCAACCTGTACACGGCAACCAGTTGCGAGCAACCAGCCATGAGCAACCCGTACAGAGCAACCAGCGCAAGGCAACCAGTTGCTAGCAACCGGTACATAGCAACCAGTTGCTAGCAACCCGTACACGGCAACCTATACACAGCAACACAGTTGCTAGCAACCGGTACACAGCAACCTATACACAGCAATCAGTTGCTAGCAACCCGTACACAGCAACCTATACAGGGCAACCAGTTGCTAGCAACCCGTACACAGCAACCAGTTGCTAGCAACCCGTACACGGCAACCTATACAGAGCAACCAGTTGCTAGCAACCCGTACACAGCAACCTATACACAGCAACACAGTTGCTAGCAACCCGTACACAGCAACCTATACAGAGCAACCAGTTGCTAGCAACCCGTACACAGCAACCTATACACAGCAATCAGTTGCTAGCAACCCGTACACAGCACCCTATACAGAGCAACCAGTTGCTAGCAACCAGCCACTAGCAATCAGTACACAGCAACCAGAACACGGCAATCAGTTGCTAGCAACCAGCGCACCGCAATCAGTTGCTTAGCAACCAGTACACGGCTAGCGAGAAGAAATCAACTCCCGCAGTTGCAGGCAACGGTGGAGTTGAGGTTTGTGCGAGTTGCACCGAGCAACACCTCATCATCATCATCCTCCACGTGCTCTATATGATGAGTCTGTGGGTCTCTGTGTGGTGAGTCTGTGGGTCTCTGTGTGATGAGTCTGTGGGTCTCTGTGTGGTGAGTCTGTGTGTCTCTGTCTGATGAGTCTGTGGGTCTCTGTGTGGTGAGTCTGTGGGTCTCTGTGTGGTGAGTCTGTGGGTCTCTGTGTGGTGAGTCTGTGGGTCTCTGTGTGGTGAGTCTGTGGGTCTCTGTGTGGTGAGTCTGTGGTGAGTCTGTGTGGTGAGTCTGTGGTGAGTCTGTGTGTCTCTGTGTGGTGAGTGTGTGGGTCTCTAGGTGGTGAGTCTGTGGGTGTCTGTGGGTCTCTGTGTGGTGAGTCTGTGGGTCTCTGTGTGATGAGTCTGTGGGTCTCTGTGTGGTGAGTCTGTGGGTCTCTGTGTGGTGAGTCTGTGGGTCTCTGTGTGGTGAGTCTGTGGGTCTCAGTGTGATGAGTCTGTGGGTCTCTGTATGGTGAGTCTGTGTGTCTCTGTGTGATGAGTCTGTGGGTCTCTGTGTGGTGAGTCTGTGGGTCTCTGTGTGGTGAGTCTGTGGGTCTCTATGTGGTGAGTCTGTGGGTCTCTGTGTGGTGAGTCTGTGGGTCTCTGTGTGGTAAGTCTGTGGGTCTCTGTGTGGTGAGTCTGTGGGTCTCTGTGTGGTGAGTCTGTGGGTCTCTGTGTGGTGAGTGTGTGGGTCTCTGTGTGGTGAGTCTGTGGGTCTCTGTGTGGTGAATCTGTGGGTCTCTGTGTGGTGAGTGTGTGGGTCTCTGTGTGGTGAGTCTGTGGGTCTCTGTGTGGTGAATCTGTGGGTCTCTGTGTGGTGAGTCTGTGGGTCTCGGTGTGGTGAGTGTGGGTCTCTGTGTGGTGAGTCTGTGGGTCTCTGTGTGGTGAGTCTCTGGGTCTCTGTGTGGTGGTGAGCCTATGGGTCTCTGTGTGGTGAGTCTATGGATCTCTGTGTGGAGAGTCTGTGGGTCTCTGTGTGAGTCTGTGGGTCTCTGTGTGGTGAGTCTGTGGGTCTCTGAGTGAGTCTGTGGGTCTCTGTGTGGTGAGGCTGTGGGTCTCTGTGTGGTGAGTCTGTGGGTCTCTGTGTGGTGAATCTGTGGGTCTCTGTGTGGTGAGTCTGTAGGTCTCTGTGTGGTGAGTCTGTGGGTCTCTGTGTGGTGAGTCTGTGGGTCTCTGTGTGGTGAGTCTGTGGGTCTCAGTGTGGTGGTGAGTCTGTGGGTCTCTGTGTGGTGAGTCTGTGTGTCTCTGTGTGATGAGTCTCTGGGTCTCTGTGTGGTGAGTCTGTGGGTCTCAGTGTGGTGGTGAGTCTGTGGGTCTCTGTGTGGTGAGTCTGTGGGTCTCTGTGTGGTGAGTCTGTGGGCCTCTGTGTGGTGAGGCTGTGGGTCTCTGCGTGGTGAGTCTGTGAGTCTCTGTGTGGTGAGTCTGTGGGTCTCTGTGTGGTGAGTCTGTGGGTCTCTGTGTGGTGAGTGTGTGGGTCTCTGTGTGGTGAGTCTGTGGGTCTCTGTGTGGTGAATCTGTGGGTCTCTGTGTGGTGAGTCTGTGGGTCTCTGAGTGAGTATGTGGGTCTCTGTGTGGTGAGGCTGTGGGTCTCTGTGTGGTGAGTCTGTGGGTCTCTGTGTGGTGAGTCTGTGGGTCTCTGTGTGGTGAGTCTGTGGGTCTCTGTGTGATGAGTCTGTGGGTCTCTGTGTGGTGAGTCTGTGGGTCTCTGTGTGGTGAGTCTGTGGGTCTCTGTGTGGTGAGTCTGTGGGTGTCTGTGTGGTGAGTCTGTGGGTGTCTGTGTGGTGAGTCTGTAGGTCTCTGTGTGTGAGTCTGTGGGTCTCTGTGTGGTGAGTCTGTGGGTCTCTGTGTGGTGAGTCTGTGGGTCTCTGTGTGTGAGTCTGTGGGTCTCTGTGTGGTGAGTCTGTGGGTCTCTGTATGATGAGTCTGTGTGTCTCTGTGTGGTGAGTCTGTGTGTCTCTGTGTGGTGAGTCTGTGGGTCTCTGTGTGGTGAGTCTGTGGGTCTCTGTGTGGTTAGTCTGTGGGTCTCTGTGTGGTGAGTCTGTGGGTCTCTGTGTGGTGAGTCTGTGGGTCTCTGTGTGGTGAGTCTATGGGTCTCTGTGTGGTGAGTCTGTGGGTCTCTGTGGGTCTCTGTGTGGTGAGTCTGTGGGTTTCTGTGTGGTGAGTCTATGTGTCTCTGTGTGGTGAGTCTGTAGGTCTCTATGTGGTGAGTCTCTGTGTGATGAGTCTATGGGTCTCTGTGTGGTGAGTCTGTGGGTTTCTGTGTGGTGAGTCTGTGGGTCTCTGTGTGGTGAGTCTGTGGGTCTCTGTGTGGTGAGTCTGTGGGTCTCTGTGTGTGAGTCTGTGGGTCTCTGTGTGTGAGTCTGTGGGTCTCTGTGTGGTGAGTCTGTGGGTCTCTGTGTGGTGAGTCTGTGGGTCTCTGTGTGTGAGTCTGTGGGTCTCTGTGTGGTGAGTCTGTGGGTCTCTGTGTGGTGAGTCTGTGGGTCTCTATGTGATGAGTCCGTGGGTCTCTGTGTGGTGAGTCTGTGGGTCTCTGTGTGGTGAGTGTGTGGGTCTCTGTGTGGTGAGTCTATGGGTCTCTGTGTGGTGAGTCTGTGTGTCTCTGTGTGGTGAGTCTGTGGGTCTCTGTGTGGTGAGTCTATGGGTCTCTGTGTGGTGAGTCTGTGGGTCTCTGTGTGATGAGTCTGTGGGTCTCTGTGTGTGAGTCTGTGGGTCTATGTGTG